GGCCCCCCGGCCCACCGCCCCCGCCGCTGCCCCTTCCCCTCCCCGCCAGTGCTCTGCCGCTGCACCCAGCCCCGCGCCCAGCGCCAGGGTCAGGCCGACCCGCAGCTCAGGCATGGCCTACAGCAGGACGAGCGCGGCCTGAGTGCGGGAAGTTGTCTTTGGACCCAGGTGCAGGAGCCTCCGGTGACCCCACGCGGGCGTCCGCAGGGCCTTCCGCTGCCCTTTGGAGACGCGGGCTGGGGCGTGACACCGCCCTACTCGCTTGCCATTGGTCACTGCCAAGTCTGGCTCCGCCTCATCTTGTGCGCCTCTGGAAACCTTGCCTCTTGAAGGGCGTGCAGCGCCGCCCTAGCGGCCGCGTATTTAACCCCCACAAAGTCCTGGGAAATCTAGGTACCTGGACAGGACAGAACCCCAGATCTGTCAGACCTATGTCCACCCATAATTGCGCCACGAAATGATAAATATTCCTCTAGATTGCCTGGCAAAAGGTTTAGGCTGTAACTGCTGACAGCCGCCTGGAGCTGAAGCTTGCTAGTAAGGTTATAGAAAACTACTTGAAAAGCCTACACTAAAATCATTTAAGATCATTAGGGTCATACGTTTCTTTCTTTTTGGTTTTGGCTTTGGTTTTTTGAGACAGGATTATCTCTAACAGTCAAACAGCCCTGGCGCTCCTGGAACTCGAGCTGTAGTCCAAGCTGGCCTCGAACTCACAGAGAGCCACTTGCCTCTGCCTCCCAAGTGCTGAGCTCCTTTTAACCCTCTTAAAGAGCTGAGCCTGGGAAGCATGTTTTATAAGACAGTGTTTCCTGTCCATAGAAGCTGGAATACACAAAGCATTCAACACTAGGAGCTGGATAAGATTATTTGCTGCACATCAGATGGAACAGTATTTAAACTATGAATATTTTAGGAGAGCAACTTGCCTACCACCTAGTAAGGTGGAGGAACAAATAAGCAAATAGGGCTGAGAATGTACCATCAGAGCCTCACTCATTAGTAAGAGACAAAACCAAATTATTCATTAAAAGTTAAATTGGGAAATAGAGGATCAGCAGGTTTTGGAGGACAAGAGAGTACTGGAAGGAAATAATAAAAATTAGTAGCACATACAAATGAAAGTGTTACAATGGAACTCACTTTTTTGTTTGCTTGTTTTTTCAAGATAGGGCTTTTCTGTGTAGCCCTGGCTGTTGAAGAACTTGATCTGTAAACCAGGGTGGCCTTGAACTCGGAGATCTACCTGCCATCTCTGTGAATTCCAGGACAGCCTGATCTACAGAGTGAGTTTCCAGGGAAACCCTGTATCCCTGTATCCCTGTATCGAGAGAGAGAGAGAGAGAGAGAGAGAGAGAGAGAGAGAGAGAGAGGGAGAGAGAAAGAGAGAGAGGAGAGAGAAGACAGAGAGAGAGAGAACAGAGAGACAGAGACAGAGAGACAGCGAGAGAGACAGAGAGAGATCCACCTGCCCCTGCCTCCTGAGTACTGGGATTAAAGGTCACCACTGCCAGAAGAACTTTTATTTAAAAAATTAAAAAAGACAATGTGGTGTTGTGGGCTGGAAAAATGGTTCAGCAATTAAGAACTCATACTGGGGGCGGGAGGGAGCTAGAGAGATGGCTCAGTAGTTCAGAGCACTTGTTGGTCTTGCAATGGACCCAGGTTCAGTTCTCAGCACCCACATGGCTACACACAACCATCTGTAACTCCAAAGAATCTCCACACACACCAGATATACATGGTCCACAGACATACATGCAGGCAAAACACCTATACAGACAACATAATTTTGTTCTTTAAAGAGCATATACTGCTCTTGCAGAGAACCCAAGTTCAATTACAGGCAACCATGACCTCCCATAACTTCAGTGATAGGGGATCTAATGCCTTCTGGACTGTGCAGGCACCTGAGTTCATACATGGGTGTTCCCACATACAGACATGCACATACATATAAAGTAAAAATAACAGTTAAGTCTATGGTGAGACATTCAGCTCAGTTGACCAAATGCTTGCCTAACATGCACAAAGCCTGGTTTGTGCAGCACTCCATAAACCAGATGTGATGGTGGAGGAAGACTGAAATTTCAAGGTCGTCCTCACCTACATAGAAAAGTTCAAGGCCAGACGGTGGTGGTGCACGCCTTTAATCTCAGTACTCAGGAGGCAGAGGCAGGCAGATCTCTGTGAGTTCTAGGCCAGCCTGGTCTCCAGAGCGAGTGCCAGGACAGGCTCCAAAGCTACACAGAGAAACCCTGTCTCGAAAAACCAAAAAAAAGAAAAAAGAAAAAAAAAAAAAGAAAAGTTGCACTAGACATCAGTATTTTTTCTATAGATTGTAGGCATAGGAAACATGTTTTTTTTTTTTTTTTTCCTAATAGTAGTTTGGCATAGTGATTCCTATCTGTAATCTCAGTGCTAGGGAGGCTGCGGCATAATTACCATGGGCCTGAAGCCAGTCTGGGGTGACTGACTTACACATACACAAAAGCTGAGTAGTATTACATGTGTATCTATACCATTTATCCATCTATGGACGTTAGTTTTTTTGTTTTTTTGTTTGTTTGTTTTTGGCTCCTGTGAATGTTACCAATAAACACAAGAGCACTTTAGGGGCCATGTCCAACAAGTATCCCCCTGTCTTCTGATAGCTACAGTTCTGGGCTGGGATGAAGTTTGCAACCCATTTGAGAGTTGATATCTCTGCATGATTTAAAAGTCTCATTTCACTTTTCTGTGTGGAAAATCATTTCTCTTGGCACCTTTTACTGAGAACTGTCCTTTCTCCATCGAGTTCTTGGCTCCTTTGTCAATAGGCAATTGATTACAGGGGCTGGAGAGATAGCTCAGCAGTTAAGAGCACAGTCTGCTCTTGCAGAAGACCTAGGTTCAATTCCCAGTATCCACAAGGTGGCTCACAGCATCTGTAACTACAATCCCAAGGGCTCTGGTGCTTTCTTCTGGCCTCCATGGGCATTAGGCACACATATAGCAGGTAAGCACTCACACACATAAAATAAAATCTTTTTGCCAGCCAGTGTTGGTGCACACCTTTAATCCCAGCATTCAGGAGGCAGAGGCAGGTGGATCTTTGTGAGTTTGAGGCCAGCCTGGTCTACAAAGCAAATTTCAGGACTGCCGAGAAACAAGATTTTGAGAAACCGTGTCTCAAAAATCAAAAATGGCAACAAAAAAAATCTTAAAAAAAAAATCAATTGACTGCAAGGCTTATGCCTGTTTTTAGGGTTTTGGGTCTATAAATTGATGTCATATTTTTTTCCCTTTTCTTTTTGGTTTTTCAAGACAGGATTTCTCCCTGTAGCAGCTCTGGCTAACCTGGAACTCTCTCCGTAGACGAGGCTGGTTTTGAACTCACAAAGATCTGCCTGCTTCTGCCTCCCAAGTACTGGGAATAAATGTGGGTTTCCTGTATTTCTGTCAGCATCAGGCTGCTTTGATTACCATAAACTAGTATTTTAAAGTAAGGTGGCCTCCTGCACTGTCCTTTTTGCTCACGATTATATCAGGTATTTGGTATCTTTTATGGTTCCTGGACACATTTTCAAACTGATGCTTTCATTTTTCTGTGAAAAATGTCATATCTGTGTGGGAGAGAGAGAGTGTGTGTGTGTGTGTGTATTAGGACCCATAGCCTCAGGCAAATACCACTGAGCTACATACACTTCCATGTCATAGCCATTTTGTTTCAGGTAGGGCCTCGTTATGTAGTTCTAGGAAGACTGGAACCCACTGCACAGACCAGGCTGTTCTCAAATTTGCCAGGATCCTCTTTGTGGAGTGCTGAGGTCACATGCACGTGCCACCACACTTGGCCACACTGGAGTTTTGATAGGGACTACATTTACTGAGCTGGGCTTGAGTTAGTGCACCAGGCTCCTGCACCCCCAGCTCACTTAACATTAAATTGCAGCGAGCTGGAACCCTTCCTCCCACCATCCCATAATCACTGAGGGGTGGCCTAAGCCACCTTCTTTTGTGAGCCACCATGTGGTTGCTGGGAATTGAACTCAGGACCTCTGGAAGAGCAGTCAGTGCTCTTAACCGCTGAGCCATCTCTCCAGCCCCTAAGCCACCTTCTTACCACACTCCCTGTCCTGGGCTTATTTAGCCGTGAGTTGCTTAAGTTGGAGAAGGAATATTATTTCCTCACCAGCTGGAAAAGGTTCATTCATTCAGCACCTAGAACCTATTTACTTGCAGTGTTCTGGGTACTGGGAATGGAGATGAGTTCTCCCAGCCCAGAAATGCAGAGTAAGTACCCTCTTGTTTCTTTGCACCTCCTTCATCTTCTTCCAAGGCTTCACAATGTTTGGTATTCTTGGGGCCGTGTCTGGCTCAGTGGTCCAGTGCTTGCTTGATGTGTGTGAGGGCCTGAGCCCTATGACCAGTACAAAAGTCCTCAGTACTTTCATCTCTTTCAGGTGTTGCAAGTAGCATTTTATTATTTTCAGTTAGTATATAGAAACACTCCTGATTTTTAGCCAGCTGTGCTGATACACACCTTTAATCCCAACACACTCAGGAGGCAGAGGCCCCAGCCTCAGAGGCTAAAAGTGGAGGAACAGAGTCTGAGGCTAGCCTGGACAACAGAGCAAAATCCTTGTCTCTAAAGAACAATTCACTGCCAGGGCAGGTGAGGTGGCTCAGTGGGTAAAGGCACAGCCACCACGCCTGATGGCCTGAGTTTGATTTCTGTGACCCATGGGATAGGAGGGAACAGACTGTAGCAAGACTTCTCAACCCACAGGACACACACAAATAAGTACACCTTAGACAGGGATAGCAACGTGATGTGTGCAGGCAAGCCCCTCTGTCCTATGCCCATCTGTCTCTTGCTGAACTGGAAGAGTCAGGCTCTTCTGGCATTTTCTGGTCTTTCTTAGACCAGACTGACTTTGTCCTTGCTCCAAAGTCTCAAGTCCAGCCATCAAAGTACCAACACTCAAAAAAAAGAGCATACGGTTTATTAAAGACAACTCATTAACAGCATTGACTCAGAGAACGGATGAGAACACAAAAGCCACTGCTGTTCCGACCCTCGGGTGACTTGCTGAGCTCCTGGAGGCCACTCCCAGGTGGAAGCTGCAGGTACTCAAGACTCTGGTTCTCCCTTAAGAGTCATCAAGGGCAACTCCTTTCCTCAGGCAGCACCCAATGGGAAAGGAGTCAACCTACTCAAGACAGTCTCCATGTCCTTGGCCTTCATCTCAAGGACCAAGTAGTGGGCACAGGCTACAGGTCTCCCACAGAAATAAATCAGACGCAGTGATTCCAGTAGCATGGTCCCAGGAAGGAAGAGGGTGGGAGAGAGGGATTGAGGGAAGGACAGGCAAGAGGGAATACATTAGGTGTCCCAGGCAGTATCTGCTGGCTTCCAGGCAATGAAGAGGTCAATGCTGGGGCTGAACTACGAGCTAACAAGTCCTAGACTGAGGTGTGGCCAGGATGGTGGGAGTGTATGTGTCCTGTATCTTTGAGTACAGCAAATGCACCAGCTCTGGCCTTTCTTATACTCAGTTCTAGAGTAGAGCTGGCAGCACTCCCAGTCAGGAACAGCAGAGGATGTCAGGGTTAACCTTGGGAAATAAGACAATCCATGCCTCCAACTCCACCATCCCAGCCACTACCACCCACCCACAGCCCCAAGTCACTTGCCAATCTGCAATAAATAGCCTGTGTCTAAATAAATAGTTAAAAAAAAAACCACCCAAATATTCTGTGTTGGGGGAGAAGGTAGCAAAAAGGCAAGCAGAGAGAAGCAGCAGTACCCACGGAAGCTCACTAAAACAGTGGCCTGGGAAGGCAGGAAGCCCTGCGCACCAGTATCAGGAAGGCTTCAGGCAGCAGCTGCTGGAGCCCAATTCTTGACTGGCCAATCTGAGCAGTGAGGACCCTTGCTGTCGACCTGCCTTCAGGACCCAAAACACCTGGCCTCCACAGAAAATGGGGGAAGAGACAAGGTCAGAAAAAGCCTACTTGCTGAACAAGGAGCAGTTCAGGGCACACTGGCCCCAAGGCCAGGAGATAGCTGAAGCTTCTCTGCAGCCCCCATGGGAGTAGAGGACAAATGTAGTTCTCCTGGCACTGAGAGGTTGCAGGCCGTCCAGTTTAGCCAATCCTGGACACAGAGAGGCATCCTTTGGTCCCCTTGCCCTTGATGAGACTTGAACACCCTGGGTAGGAACATGGAAGCCAAGAGGATGACACCTCTACTGAAATGCTTAGAATCCAACTCCCAGGCACAGCACACACGGGCCGTCCTTGATCTCTGAGATGCTGAGTCTTCAGGGAGCCCCTTAATAGACTCTCCCCCACCCTCCTTTCTCTATACTTGAGCAGAAAATGGGCAAGAGGCCCAAAGTTTCCAGGCCACCATTGTCAGCAGCACTTGGTTTCCACAAGCAGAGCAGAGTCTGGGCCCTCTGATGAGCCGATGTGGGTTCCCTCTCTGACTAGGGGACTTTGAAACCTTGGGCTAGGGATGGGCACAGGATACCCCGGTTAAGGTTGGCCTTTAGGGGTCTTAGCAGGTCACACCTCTCTTTCTGTCTGCTGGCTTCAGGAAGCAGAGAGGAGCAGAGGGGAAGAGGTTTGGGGTAAGGCGTCCCAAGAGAAGGGTAAAGAGAAATGGAGAGTAGAAACAGCAGGAGCCACACACCTCTGGCAAAGGAGGAGGGAGACAGGCAGAGGTAGAGACACAGAAAAGGGGAAGCAGAGCCATAGAGGGATTCCAACACACCCTCACTCCACCTCCAGGGCATGTGTGAACACACATGTACATACACAAAAGCAGAGACACGTGGGGGACACCATACCAGCCACAAGCAAATATACCAGGCAGGAGAGACAAAAGGTGGACCTAGAACAGGCAGTCACTCAGCTCTTCTGGGGTCACTTCCCCAAGCAGCTTGAGCACCAACACTCAGAAATGGTTTCTGGCCCATTTAGCTCCCAATTAGCTCCCCTGACCAGGACCCAGAGGAAGATGAAAGCACAAAGGATAAGGGGCTACTGGGCAGAGGCATGGCAGGACCCTTGCCAGCCTCCTGTGCTCCAAGTGGGCCCAGCCCTAGGAAACCAGTTCAGGAGCTCCAGCCCTACTCAGCAGTCTGGGTGGAGGTTTCAGGCTGAAGTGCAGGGAGGGAACACAGCAGAGTGCTCCAGGAGAAGCAGCCTGGACCTCGGGAACCAGGCTGGGAAGACCTGGAGCCGGCCATGACTGCAGCTTGCGGTCAGGCCAGATTTCCCATTGGCTCCTTCATGTCCCACAAACCAGGGTGTAGAGCGCAGGCGGGTGCTCTTCCAAACCTGGACCTCTTGCCACCAGGTTACTTCGAGTCTTGGAGCTCCTTGGCTTTCTGTAAGATCTGGCAGACGTCTGTGATGGGGTAATCCTGGACACCAGGAAAACCACAATGTGCTCCTGGAGTAGCCCCCACTTTGCTCCACTTGCCACACCCACCACCTTCCCACACAGACCTGTCACCATGGTATGGCACCAGGGATAGGGACCATGGTATACTAGACACCCCAAGTATCCTGCCCCAAACACTGCATGACACCAAGGTCACAACTCCCAAGGTCCAAAGGGTCTTACAGTCTGTCTTAGAACCAGAGTGCCCAAGGCCTCAGCCCTCCCATCTCCTGACCTAGAACCTGGAGCCACACCCATGCCAAGCCTTGAGCTAGCTGGGGCAGTGTAGCCCTTAGTCTTCCAGTCCCCTGAGGAGCCCCAAGAAGAGTTGCTGTGATTACACCCATCTTACAGACCTAGCTAGTGAGGTTATTGAAAACCAACCCTAAGCCAGGTAGGTGTTGGTGAAGACATGAGGCCTAGAGTATGTCACTAGGCTCAAGTCACATGACAAGGAGAGCAGACCATACATAAACCTCAGGCTCGCTGTTAGACCATCTGATACACACCTGCCTGCCTGAGCAAAATCAGCAACATCCATTGCCTTCATCTTGTCACCCAGAATGCTGAAGGCCAGGGACATACACCACTCAAGGTCTGTGAAGACCAGGACTCAATTCAGATCCAAACCAGATGTGGTCCAGGAGTCTGGACCCTGAACCCACACTATTTGCTGTTTCTGGAGCCAGCCTGCCACAATGGCTGGCACAGGATGGAGGGGAAGTGCCTGCCCTCCAGTGCCCATTACCTGCAGGAGACGCATGTTGACGGTGAAATCTCCCTCCAGCAACTGCTCCCGGATCAGTCTGCAGGGAAACAAGCAGCCACAGTGCTGCTGCGGACGCCCCAGGAGCAGGCCTACAGGCCTTCTGCTTATTCCTCCACCCTCAGCAAGTCCCACTGGAGGTTAGAGTTTCCGAGGCTTGCTCTTGTCACCATCCAGGATTGGCACCCCCACCACACACACACACACACCCTAGCTTTCCTTAGGGGCAGGGTAAATCATGCCCCACTCACATGAGCATGGCACAGCAGACCAGGAGGAGGAAGTCAAAGCGGTTGTCATCGGCAAAGAGGGAGTCCCAGATCCGGATGACATCAGGCAGCAAGAACTCCTGCGACAGCAGCAGTGTCAGCCAGCGGAAGGCAAAGAACTGCGGCTTGATATTCTGCTCTTGCTGGGGAGACAGCAGGGATCGGGTGTCAGCTGCATAAAGAAAATATAGCCTAGGAGCAAGCCCTGCTCGGGGCCCTCACAGGGGCCGTACAGAGCCTCGGTTCACTAAGTGGAGGGACAGCTGCTGTTAATCCAGCCAATGCTGCCAATACTAGAAACCCTGAATTCTACACTAGTCCTTCAGATTTGGAAATGATGGCTCACCACATGCACTTCCTCCTCTCTGTTTGTGGACATGTACAAGGACCAGTACCTCTACTTAGCTTACATAACCCATGAAACAACCCCACAGCGCAGGGCTCCCCAAGAAGGCCCACTTGGTGAGCCACAGAGGGTATTTACAGAAAGAGCATGTACCACTACTGTGGAATATTACTTTAACTGGGCAAAGATGTGTTATATTTGTTTATGCTGCATTTGTTTAACGAAGTAAAGATGTCCTGCCTAAGGCACCCGATTGGTCTAATAAAAAGCTAAAGGACCAATTGCTAGATAGTAGAGAGACAGGAGGGGCTGGCGGGCAGAGAGAATAAATAAGAGGAGGAATCTAGGCTCAAGAACAAAGTAATGAGAAGAGAAAAAGAAAGAGATACTGAGGCCAGTCAGCCAGGTAACCATCAGCCAGTAAGACATGGAGTAGGACATACAGAAAGAAAGAAAATAAAAAGCACCGAGTCAAAAACATATATTTAGAGAAACAGGTTAAAATAAATTTTAAGAGCTAGGCCGGGCGGTGGTGGCGCACGCCTTTAATTCCAGCACTCGGGAAGCAGAGGCAGGCAGATCTCTGTGCGTTTGAGGCCAGCCTGGGCTCCAAAGCGAGAGCCAGGATAGGCTCCAAAGCTACACAGAGAAACCCTGTCTCGAAAAACATATATATATATATGAGCTAGAAGATAAGGCTGAGCATTCATAACTAGTAAGTCTCTATGTCATAATTTGGGAGCTGGCTTGTGGCCCAAAGGCCTGCTACACTACATAGTAAAAATAGCATCCCATGTTATTTAAAAATGTATGCTTCAAGACAGGCATAGTGGCACATGCCTTTAAAGCCCACACTGGTGACACAGAGGCTGGCAGATGTCTTGGGTTCAAGGCCAGTCTGGACTACACAGCCAGGACAGCCAGGACTACACAGAGAAACCCTGTCTCAATAAATAAATAAATAAATAAATAAATAAATAAATAAATAAAACAAAAATATATGCATCCATATTTTTTTTCACAAAACGTTTTGAAGCCGGAATTCCAGCACTCTGGAGGCAGAGGCAGGCAGATCTCTGTGAGTTTGAGTGGTCTACAGAGCGAGTTCCAGGGCAGCCTCCAAAACAATACAGAGAAACCCTGTCTTGAAAAACCAAAAACCAACCAAACAAACAAAAAACTTGTTTTTGAGATAGGGTCTCACCATATAGCCCTGGCTGGTCTCAAATTCACTAGATCGGGTTAGCTTCAAACTCACAGAGACCCACCTGCCTCTGCCTCCTGGGAGCTGGGATAAAAGATGTGCACTAGCACTGCCCAGATTCATTTTTTTTTGTTTTTGTTTTAAGACAGGTGTGTAGCCCAGGATGGGCTCAAAATCACCATGAAGTCAAGTATGACCTTAAACTCCTGATCTCCCTGGCTACCACCTCCTGAGACCTGAAATCCGAAGCATGTACCACTATGGCTGGTTAATACACCACTGAGAATGGAACTCAGATTGAGCCCAGGGCTTCATGCATGCTAGGCAAGCATTCTATCAACTGAGCCACAGCCCCTTCCCACAACACTTACAATTTATATGTAAAAATGTATCTTCTTTTTTTTATTTTTTTAGAGTTTTGTTTGTTTTCTGTTTTTGAGACAGGGTTTCTCTGTGTAGCTCTGGCTGTCTTGGAACTAGCTTTGTAGACTATGTTGGTCTTGAACTCACAGAGATACACCTGCCTCTGCCTCCTGAGTGCTAAGTTTAAAGGCGTGCACCATCACCACAATTTATTCTTAAATTCTTAAAATAGGTTTTCATGTAAACTGGCCTCAAACTCATGATGTAGTCCAGGCTAGCTTGAACATCCTCCTACAATGTGCCTTCCTATCTAGATTAAATTGAACTATTCTATGAAATACACAAGTGATGGCACAACAATAACTTCAAGTTACTTTTTTTTTTTTGAGACACAGTTTCCCTGTGTGGCTTTGGAGGTTGTCCTGGAACTCATGCTGGTCTCCAACTCACAGAGATTCACCTGCCTCTGCCTCCTGAGTGCTGGGATTAAAGATGTACGCCACCACATCCCAACCTGAAATTACATTTTTAATTTATTTGTTGAGGGTATGTAGAGTTAAAGAACAACTTGCAAGAATCAGTTCTCTCCTTCTACTATGTGGGACTGAACTAAGGAGGCTGGCTGGCCTTAGTGTTAAATACCTGCTTGGCCACTATTTTTTTCCTTTCTTTCTTCCTTTCCTTCTTCTTTTTTTTTTTTGTTTTTGTTTTTTGAGACAGGGACTCTATGTTGTAACCCTGGCTGTCCCGGAACTCACTTTGTAGACCACGCTGGCACTCAAACTCAGAGATTCACCTGCCTCTGCCTCCTGAATGCTGGGATTAAAGGTGTGTGCCACCCCCACCCCAGCATTTTTTTGGTTTGAAACAAAGTCTCTCTATGTATTATTCCTGACTGTGCTGAAACTTGTTCAATAGACCCAGCTGGCCTCAAACTCAGAGATATCTTCTGCCTTTGCTTCCCAGGTGCTAGGACTAAAGGCTTGCTCCACCACATTCAGCCTATAAGCACCACCCCTTCCCAGCCTACTTGGCTTCTATGCTCAGCTGCCAGGCCTCCCGGGCTTGCTCCACCCCTTCCCAGCCTACTTGGCTTCTATGCTCAGCTGCCAGGCCTCCCAGGCCTCCTCAGCACATGGGCCGCATCCCCGGCACTAGGTCAGCACCCTGAGTAAATGCCCAAAATTGCTCAACTGCAGCCACTTTCAGCCCCCAGACTAAAGGCAGTAGTACTAGGTGTGTGCCTGGCCTGTGTGCCCTGCCCACGTGCAGTCAGGGTGTCTTTGCTTGTGTGTACGGTCCTCACCAGTTTCAGGTAGAGTTCTACATCCTTATCCTTCAAGGTGGAGTACACCTTTTCCATCTTGTAGGTGATGCCGCACTGGGAGTCATCAAGGCTCTTGATGAAGTTGTCCCGGATCTCAGCCATGAGGTTGGTGAAGCAGAAAAAGGTATCTGCTTCCGCATGCTCTGGAACAGACAGTGAGGTGTGGGTGGACACAGGAAAGAGGTGTTCTGAGTCCCACCTCGCCTCTCACCCCCAGGACATATGCCCCACTTTTACATGTCACCAAACTGCCCCTGTGGAGGCTGGAATGGGTCCTTCACCTTGGCCCCTGTCTAACCCTAAGGACATCACCACTTCTACCTCACCTTCTAGGCACACAATGCACTGGACAGTTTATCTTACACTATCCTAGTGGGTCACATCTTTTGGTGTCTTGTGACCATGTATTCTACAGAAAGTTACAGGTGTCAACAAGTCAGTGAACAACAGTATTCTAGAAGGCAGAGCTGGAAAGAGTCTTAGATACAATCCAGGCCAGCACCTGCTCTGACATGGGCACAGATATCTGGAAGTAGATAAGGCTCTGGAGCCCCACGTGGCCCATTAGTCTAGCTAGCCCCATTCTCTTTCTCTAGGGAGTCAGCAATGGGAGATCCAGGTGGCTAAGAGCCTGTCTACCTTTCCACTCGCTATTGGGGTCAGTGGCAAAAGTGTAGTAGAGGGGGCCCACGATCTCATTCATGCCCTGCACATAAGCGATGCCAGGGTTGAGCTTGGCATAGATGAACAGGATCCGTTCCACCACCTCCCAGTGGGCTTCACAGCCATTGGGCAGAACCTCATACTCGTTCAGGGCCGGTGGTGCATTGTTCTTGTGCGGGGAGCTCATCTGGGGAGAAGAGGAGAGCCTGTTAGCAGATCAAATGTTCCCATTAAGCTCAATTTAACTAAGCATCTGAGCTTATGGGTAAGACAGGGCTTAGAGGAACATCACAGACACAAGGAAGAGGCAGGTCAATGCTCTATGAAGACATTGGAAGTGACAACTAGGCTAAAAACAGAGGTGGCAACAGGCATGATGGTGCACACCTCCTTTAGTCCTAGTACTTGAGAGGCCTCTGCCTCTCTGTGAGTTTAAGGCCTTCCTAGATTACATAGTGAGACCCTAGCTTTAAAACCAAAAACCCAAAACCAAGCAAACACAACAACAGAACAGAGTTAAATTCTGTGGTGAGGAACTGATGTGGGGAGGGAAAGAAGGAACGCCCTGCACAGTGAGAAATCTTAATCTTGACTGGTGGCTACACAGGTGGACCTGTGAGAAAAACAGGTCTAGTTTTATACATAAAATGTGTGCATTTATTGAAAATAAAGACTTAGCTGGGTGGTGGTGGCATACATCTTTAATCCCAGCACTAAGGAAGCAGAGGTAGGTGGTAGGCGAATCTCCCTAAGTTTAAAGCCAGCCTGGTCTACAGACCAAGACAGCCAGAGCCACACAGAGAGACCCTATCTCGAAGGAAAAAAAACAAAAAAATATAAGACTTAGCTTCGTGCAATGGTGCAGGCCTGTGAGCCCTAGCATTTGGAGGTAGAATTGGAGGATCAGGAGTTCAGTGCTAGCCTCAGCTACATATAACAGTCTAGGCCAACCTGGGATACATAGAACCAGTTCAAAACGAGAAAAGGGCCCACGGGCTGGAGAGATGGCTCAGAGGTTAAGAGCACTGACTGCTCTTCCAGAGGTCCTGAGTTCAATTCCCAGCAACCACATGATGGCTCACAACCATCTACAATTCAATCTGGTGCCCTCTTCTGGCATGTAGGTAGAGCAGTGTACATGTAATAAATAAATGAATCTTTAAAAAAAGAAAGAAAGAAAGAAAGAAAGAAAGAAAGAAAGAAAGCAGTGTACATGTAATAAATAAATGAATCTTTAAAAAAAAAAAAAAAGAAAGAAAGAAAGAAAGAAAGAAAGAAAGAAAGAAAGAAAGAAAGAAAGAAAAGAAAAGAAAAGGGCCCACAACATAATTGGCCCTGCAGAACCTCAGGGAATTTAGGGGATTTGGGTGCCTGGGCTCTGCCCTCGGCCTGCTCCAGCAGTGGCTGCAGAGCTGAAGGATCTGCAGGAGAGACCCCAGCAGACTATAAAAGGCTGTTTTAGGAGTCCACGAGTTCAGGCTATCTCCACACACCTGTTATACATGTATATGACAGAAACACATGCACCCAGGAGCACACCATACTCCTCCAATCATCTCTCAAAGCCATTTTCACACGGTTCAGACAATTTCAAGGCATTATGCAGCTGCGGATGGCCCTGAGCTAATCCTCCTGCCTCAGGTTACAGGTGGAGAGACAGCACCACCTTTGAAGATGAGGAAACTAAGGCTCACAGACTTGAACCTGGACTGGCTGGCCCAGAGCCTGTGGGCCAACCTGCTGGAGGAGGCTTTCTACCAAGAAGGGCCAGTGCTTCTAGCTTTCCAAGAACATGCTTTCCATGACCTCATTTCCTCCTAGCTGTTCCACAGCCAGGCAGGGCAGGAGAGATCATGCCCAGATTACAGAGGAGGAAAAACCCCAGAAACAACAGCTCAGTATCCCTTGCCCAGAGCTGCACGGAAGGCTGACTTAACTCAAGCCACCCCACTACAGGTCCAGAATTCTAGGAATGAAGCTTGAGGTGAATCCTGGGCTGTCAGAATTAGATCCAAAGATAAAATGGGTGGAGTCAGACCCTCATAGGCAGTACTACAGTGAAAGGACTGACAACGTAAGGCTTTAATCCGGGCAATCAGCATCCACACCCAGAGGGATGTACAAAAACTGAGCCACACTGGGCTATCCACAACAACTCTGGTGGATCCTAGCCCCGTGGCAGGGACATGGAACCAGTAGTGAATGCAGCCGTCCTGGCTGCCCCATCAGCATCTTGACCAGCTCGCAATTTGGGGAAAAGAAATTTGTGCAATCCTCCATTCCCTGATGGGAGGATGCAGAAGAGAGCTTTCCCACTGATGAAAGCCAGTGACATGTGGGAACAAATCATCAATATGGGTCCCAAGGCAGTGGGTCTAAATGGAGAAATAAGGTCACACACCTTTTTGGGCATAGCAGCTGCCACAAGTGGCAAGGGTCTGCTAGATCCTGGAGCTCAACAACCCTCAGGGCTTATCCTCTTCTGTATGCCCCAGATCTGTCCCTGCTCTAACCAAACAGAAAACTCTAGCCTAGAAAGACACAGCCATCTGTTTTGATATCCATTCTATGCCCTAGTATACCTGAACCAAAAGTTGCTACCTGCCCAGAATACTCCAAGAGCCCACCAGCCATCTGCACAAAGGCCCTGTCTAACCTCCCTACCAACAACTCTTCTAGTATCCTCCAGCACCTTCCCTCTCCTGTCTCATGGGTTCTAGCTATAGGGACCCTCATTTTTTTTTCCATGATACAAATGATAAATTAAGCTTTCAGTGTAAGAAGTAGAGCCAAGCAACTCTGCAGCGGTGATCAAGATGCCAGCAGCTGTGGGTCCCTACAGGCAGTCCAGCCCAGTTGCTTCAACCAGGTGAAGATGGCTTTGTTGCACCATGGGCACAACAGCTGGAGCTCTGTTTGGCACCTTCTCCTGTCTCAGGACTGGAATGTGGGGTTGGGAGCTGATTGGCGGCATTGGGAAACCATGATGCAGAGTGGTGGCACCTCTGGCACATTCATGGCATTGGAATAGGCATACGATGCTGATCAGGACAGGGTTTTGCCTGCTACAGCTATACTTTCTCATCCATTTCAACCCTTGTACGATAATAAAGTTTTTTCTTTTTTTCTTTTTTAAGACAGGATTTCTCTGTGGCTTTGGAGCCTGTCCTGGAACTCGCTCTATAGACCAGGTTGGCCTCTAACTTACAGAGATCTGCCTGCCTCTGCCTACCAAGTGCTGGGATTAAAGGTGTGTACCAACACCGGCCAGCAATAAAGTTTTTTCTTTAAAAAAAAAAAAGATAAATTACATTTATACAGTTATTAAGTATCAACATTCAACACAAATCTAAAACTGACCACCAGCCCCCAGGACGGAGAGACATGGGTGACTTCCTCACGGTGTTCAGGAAGGGCATGGTGGCATGTGTGCAGCACACATGGCAGTGGCCAGTGGCTTCATGGTCCATGCAGTGGGTAGGTAACAGGGACATAAACTAGCTTGCTTGTGGGAGGAGGGGACACAGTGGGTACTGGGGTGAGGCCTCAGTCCAAAGGCTCTTGTCTTCTGCAGCAGAATTGCCAGCCTGGTCCCCATTTCTTGAACATTGGCACATGCTCCAACAACACTTGAAAGGCTATTTCTTCTCCATCCTTACCATCCTGCCACATGGGCAGCTGAAGCTGACATCCAGATCCGGATGGACCGCTAGTCAGCCCAGCACTGCTCTCATTACACCCCGGACCTCTCTCTCAGTCATCCCCATTTCACCTCGGCCAGAGCCTGAGCATGGGCAGCATCTCCCTCGCCCTGTAACAAAAAGGCCCTCTGACACCAACCTTCAGGATGCAGGCAGTGCACAGTGGCCAGTGGATCAAAGGAAACATGTAGGGGACAAACTGTTAAGAAAAGACCCCAGAGGAGCTGGAGAGATGGCTGAGATGAAGAGCACTGGCTGCTCTTCCAGAGGTCCTGAGTTCAATTCCCAGCAACCACATGGTGACTCACAACCATCTGTAATGACATCTGGTGCCCTCTTCTGTCTTGCAGGCACACATGCAAATACAGCACTTATATACATAAATAAATCTTTAAAAAAGGAAAGACCCCAGGGGGCTGGAGCAAAGGCTCAATAGTTAAGAGCATTTGCTCTTGTAGAGGACCAGAGTTCGATTCCCAGCACTCACAACTACCTGCCTCCAGTTCCAGGGGATCCAATGCCTTTTATTTATTTATTTATTTATTTATTTATTTATTTATTTTACCTCCACAGGCACCAAACATGTACATGGAGCACACACACACATGCAGGCAAACACTCAAAATAAATAAATATTAAAAAAGACCCCAGGTCCCCAACTGGCTCTTACATTTGTGACCCCGCTCCGGTTCCGGGCCACTGTCTGAGATTTCAGTGTAGTCTGCTCCACCCGTTTACGAAGGGTCTCGAACTCATTCTGTGGGTCCAGGATGAGAAGGCAGGGGTACTCAGTGGCTCTTTGGAAGAAGGAGATATCTGGACACAGCCTCCTATTGGAATGGAGAGAATGCTATCACTCAGGGTGGCAGCCCCAGGCATCCAAAAAGTGGTTGATTTTATGTATTTATTTTACAGTGCTAGGGACTAACCTAGGTCCATGCTAGACAAGTGCTCTACTACTGAACCCTCTCTTCTAACATTTCAGCTGGGGATGATGGCACACACCTGTAATCAAGTTCATGGAAGGCCTGAGGCAGGAGGACTGCCCTGAGTTCAAGGCCAGCTTCAGCTACAAAGTGAGGTTCCCGAGCAACCTTGACTAGTCTCTAAAAACTAAAATAATATTTTAACCCCCAAAACACAGTTTTTAAAAAGGCAGTAGAATTACATATATATGCTCATTTCATATGTGTTTGGGAAGAGGTACATGTGTACATTTTTTAAGTATATTTATGGTCATAAAGCCTAATTCTCGTAAACCACAAACACCTTTCCAAGACAAAAGCACTTGTTTAGGAGCTAAGGATATAGCTCGGTGGTAGAATGCTTGCCTAGCATGCACTATGTATACATGTATACAAGTATGTCTGATATTTTATAAGGAGTCAAGTCCTGAATTCAATCCCCAGCAAAAAATTATATTGTATTTACATGAATCCATCTGCAGATTCATGGATATGCACAAGGATTAATCATGGTCATTTACTACAGGAAAGGTTTGGTTAAGTGCAAAAGAACACCCTCTGCTGATAAGAAGAGGTATGCAAGGAACGGCAAGCAGGGGGGCTCTGGAGCACGACAGTGCACTGTAAACATCATGGGCATAGCACATTGCATAACTGGCCCTCTGGAAACACTGACAACCTACTGCCATCACCGATGGGAGAGAGAGTCTGAGCCCCTAATCCCTGCCTAAACTACTACAGGATGAGGCTCTTGACCTACACCTGGCCAGTGCAGCATTTCAGAGGTAGGGCTGCTCCAATGCCAGTCTGAGAAGAAAGGTGCCGAAAGCCTAGTTCCAAAAGCCCATCCAGGCATCCAGAGGACACATGGAAAGGCATCTGGGCAGAGATGCAGCACTCAGGGGGTGGGGGGCAGTGGAGATCTTCTTGTAGACTTTATCCTAACACTCAGAACATTCCTGCATCAGTTCCTTAGGCTAGGAACTGATACACAGCCCTATGCCTAGCATCCTCCTCTTGCCTGGCATCTCATGCTGAGTCACCTCCCCTAAAATAAGGCTCCAATTCTTTCCTCACAGCACCAGCAACCTTTGCAATGCCATACATGTTGACAGGTTGAGTACCTGTCCCTTCAGGTAAAACTCCAGGCAGCTGGCCTGTGTTGCTGCAGACAGAACTGGCCCCAGGATCCCTTGGGAATGCCTGTGAGGTGCTCTGCATAACTTCCCTGTCTACACAAGGAGTAGGTACCAGAGAGGATTCAGTCAGGCTGCTCCAAGTTAAGGGGGATTAGCTCCCAGGGCCCTTCTCCCAAGGCAACCGATTATTTCAAAGGCCTCTGTAGCATGCAGAAGCCAGCATAACAATCCAAATGATATGTGAAGACTCATACTGCACATGCCCTTAGTCTGGGCCATCTCACTTCTGCTTCCAGATAGGTCATGTTCAGAGAGCCTGACTTGCCTGCCTGTGGTCAAACAGCCAATTGGTGAAGCTGTCGCTGAAACCAAACAAATAGGCGCCAGTGCCCTTTGGTACTCCACTGCAGGAACACACCCTGGCAGCAGAAAGCCCCCCTGAGCCTCTTACCGGACATCTTTGTCAATCTGCAGTAGCACCTCGTTGTCCTTAAAATATGTGTTCCACCTGCTATCAGGGTTTGGGTTGAGGGGCTGTGAAGAGAGAAGCAAATGGTGTGTGCAAGGCCTCACATCAAATACCCAAAGACCTAGCTCTGGTCTAGAGACAAACTCAGTCCACAGCAAGTACTCAGCAAGTAGTTTTCCCAGGGCTGCCCAGGTTCTGTAGAAGCACTTCCACACTACACTGGCAGCATCGAGCCTGGCAGTCTGCTCTGAGCACATTCTGCGTGGCAGGCAGTGTTCTCAACAATGCCCCAGTCAAAAGTGTGCATGTAACAATCACTCAATGAGGGCCCCTGAAAGGGCAAATGAACACATTAATGTCATTTTACTATCTACCAGTGCTTTGAGTAGTCACTCCTGTCTGAGAGGATGGGTCTGAGGCCAGGCCAGCTACACTTCCTACCCTGTGAAGCACATATGAAGGAGCTTGGTACAGCAAGAGAAAAACAGGATTTTCTCCAGGCCTCAGACAGGCACTTCATCCTTACTTCTGCCCAGCTCTTTCTTCAACCGTACAATCCTAGTGCCTTCTTCAAGGACCCCAGGTGAGGAGAGGCATGTAGTTCATTGCAGGGTGACTGCCTAAAACATCTGAGATTCTCTGCTCAACCTCCAAGCCCATAAAAAAGGCAAACAAACGAACACTTCACCAAGGATAAATCCCAGATCTTGAGAGGGCTGAAGCAGGAAAACTGCAAGTTTGTGACAAGCCCAGGCAACAGAGCAAGATCCTGCCTCAAAAAACAAAACAAAACAAACGAAAAACAAACCCATTTCAGGCTGCAAAATGGCCATTTCGGGCTACAAAATGGCTAAGTGGGTAAAAGTGCTTGCTGCACAGCATAAGACCCAAGGGGCTGCAAAATGGCTAAGTGGGTAAAAGTGCTTGCTGCACAGCATAAGACCCAAGTTCAGTCCCCAAAACACACAGGGGAAGGCAGGAACTGACTCAAATTTGCCCTCTCACCTCCATGTCTGCGCCATGGCATACACCCTCACTGGCATCCATAAACATACTAATAATGAATTTTAAAAATGTTTTAGAGTTCAGGGTCACTCTTGGCTATAAAATGAGTTCCCGGCCAGGATGAAATATATAAGACTCTGTCTTTTTTTCGAGACAGGGTTTCTCTGTGTAACAGCTCTGGACTCAAACCCACAGAGACCCTCCTGCCTCTGCCTCCTGAGTGCTAGGATTAATGGCGTGTGCCACCACCACCAGGCATCTTAATTAATCTTTTATTAAAATAAAAAAAATACATTAAAAAAAGTACTGGTGGTGACAGTTCCAGAGCCCAAAGAGCTACTGGAGCAGGGCAACTCCCACAGTACCCCAGGACAATGGTTATCCATTGCTACTAACTGCGGCTAGGGCTTCTTGTGCCTAGAATAAGCAGGGAGATACCACTGTCTCCAAGGGGTGGGAACCCTGATGGAAGGAACTGACAGGAATGCAGGTCAGGCCACCTGTCCTCCAGCGAGGGGCCCTTGCTTGGGCTAAGCCTCTCCCTCCCCATGTGCACTTTTGGCCCCTAATGTCAACCTTACTTACATGGTCCTCAAAGGTCACATCCTCCCTGGATACACCCATATTGGCCTTGGCAATGCCAGGCTGGATAATCATTTCTCTCAGGAACTGAGAATAGAGCCCCCTGCAGGAGAACAGGGCAGAGAAGGGTGAGTCCAGAGAAGCACCCACAGGAAGCAAGACGTGTGTGTGAGGAGAGCCCTCTAGTTCACAAGTCTCACCTCTGCTTGGCCAGGATGGAAGTCCACGAGGCTCTCTCCAAAGGAAGGTAGTTCAGGAGGATCTGCACAGAGAACAACACAGCTCTGGCGACATCCCTGCCCCCATCCTGGACAGCAGGGGAAGCACACAGGCCTCAAAAGAAAGGCTTCATGAAACCCGGAACAGGTCAGGTGGCTGTGACCCAGGAGCTCAGGCCTGAATAGTGGCCCCCCTCCTCCTCGTCCCAGCTCAATCCCTCCCTCTGCTTTCCTCACAGACTCTTCTGAATGAGGAGAGACCGTGGCATTGAAGGGCTGTTAACCAGGAACAGGGGCTGCCACGGCTCAGCTAGTGGCTTCAGGGGGAACTAGCCTCTGCTTTGTCCCAGTCAGCATCACTTCCAATGCCATGTGCCAGGAAGTGGGAATTGTTACTGGCATTATAAAGTGTGCCATCCCCAATAGCATCCTGAAGAGGAGGCCAAGAGAGCACAAAACCACACAACTTCCAGAGATACTTCCTTAGACAAGCAAGGAGCAGAGAGGAGAGGCCGGGAGGAGGTGCAGGCAAGACCCAGGAGACCCCAAACCAAGAAGCCCCACCCCAGGCACACCCACCTTCCAGCAGAGGCAGCGTAGTCCGCCCTCACAGGGGATGCCTGTGGACACAGCAGGCAAAGGTCACCCCAAGCCAGAGTTCTAGAACCCCCCAGCCCTACACCATGGAGCCAGTTGGCAGGGAGTGGAGTAGGCAAGAAGCACTTTGGGGACCATCCTCCACCAAAGACATGTCCGAGCTGGATGCTAACTCTAGTTTCTGTCTACAGCCCTGCCCCCCAGCCCAGAACTTCATCTGTCTGGGATGTTCTTTGAACCTTCTCATCTCTATTTCTTCTTCAAAGAGGCCACTATCAACTACCAACTCTTTTCAAAGTCAGGCTCTCTTTTAGGGAAGGGAGTAAAGTTTCATATAATCCAGGCTGGCCTCAAATCTACTATGGAGCTAAGGAAGAACATGGATTTCCTCTTGCCTCCACCTCCTGAGTGGCAGAATTACAGGTGTATTTGGCTACCATGTGTCTAGTTTATGGGGTGCTGAGAATCAAAAGTGGGACTCTGTTCATGCTAGCTAAACACTCTATGAACTAAATGACATGCCCAGACTCAGTCACTCTTAATTTCTATTTACGCTTGAGACCAGGTCTCATTATATAGTTCTGGCTGAGCTGGAACTCACTATGTAGACCAGGCTGGTCTTGAACTCACATATATCCATCTGCCTCTGCCTCCTGTTCTGGGATTAAAAGTGTGCACCACTATGCTGGGCATCAGTGTCTCTGTGGCTCTCTCCATTATAACACCCATCACAACTGGAGTATGAACTTAATGAGTGTAACGCCCACAAATGGAGAGGCCTCAGACACGCAGCGTATTTGTTTGTTGATATCCTATGCCTAGCACAGGACACAGGTCACAAATGGCATTCCACATTTGTGAAATTCAAACCAAACTGTCAGGTTAAGAGTTCTGTGCCAGATAGCCATGATTTCAGTTAATTCCAATTTTAGTTCCAGTAAGTATGAAAGATTAGCTCCCTCATCCTCACTTACAGATAAAGAAACTTATCTGTACACAGAGCAACCAAGGATTAGGACACAGGTGTAATGAGCAGCCCAAGCTCTGCGTGATCACCACAGCCAGCCGCCCCTCTGGGGCCTCCACACCACTCCAGAATGGGGAGATCAACTTCTGCAATGCTGTACAGAACCTCACAAGAACAGCTTTGATGATGGTTTCCCTGGCACCATGACACTGAGCCAATGCCCACAACTCAGAAATCTGAAGGACTTAAGCTCCTTCCTGGCTATGTTAGCAGGCAGAACAGTGCCATGAGGAGCTATAAGAACACCTTGGGTGTTTTTACAGACAGGGTAAAAAGCCAGCTATCTCTGTGCTGGAACATTAACCACGTGAGGAAGGGCAAAGTCAAACATGGCTGATGTTCAACTCCTTAAAGTTGGTGTTCTAAGGCTTGGGTTTTAGCATTAACCAAAGGTCACTCGAAACTCTGATCCAAAGTCAGGGAGAGGAACCAGGAACCACCCTGCAACTTCTGAAACTCAGGAAACTAGCTGAGAAATGACAAACACCTCATCTAGGCTTAAAGAGTCACCCCCATTTCAGTCTTCAGGCTACTACAGGGAATCTGGGGAGCAGATTCTAAGGGCAAAGGGTGGTTACCACTCCTACAGCTTCCAGGCAGCTCTAGGAAATCAGGCTATTTTCTTGATGCTTCCTCTCCATCTTAGCCATAATGCTATTCCAGAGAAACCCCAGGTAAAATTATGCCTTACCACTAAAGCTGAGTTCTCGAAGTTTTTCTAACACAATGGAGGGCTCCTTCAGGACATCCTGGAAATCTGCAATCCTTCAAGGGCAGAAAAGGAAACCCCAAATGACCAATCTTGCAGCCCACAGATTCCCTTACCCCAACAGTCTCCAACCTCTAGCTTAGGGAAGTGGGCAATACAAGTTTCTTCTTCTAAAGTCTGCAATGCCAACGAAGAGCAACGAGAAATGTTCTGGTCAAAACGGTTTTAAATGAGACCTTAACACGAAGCACTTTCAACTGTTAGTGAGCTGGCATTTCCAGAGCACTTGCTGTGGCCAAGCCCAGCCCATAGCACACCACTACCTGAATTCACACAACCAAGCTTCGAAACCAGGAGTAATTTGATCTACAGACAACGGACCTGACAATCTCCCCACCACTCTCACAGCTCTTGGTTGGGGAAGGAAGGGGGAGGGGGCACAGATCTCTTGGGCCTGCCCTCAGGCACGGAAAAAAAGAACTAAAAATTAGTCCTGGAGTGAGCAAAATTTAGCCGACGCTGCAAGATGTAGCCTGGGGGGGGGGGGGGGGAGGGGGGGAGGGAGGAAGTATTCTCAGGAGTATCTGAGGGGAAAAGAGGATCCTGGGGCCAGGAAGTGGGGAGGATAACAGAGTCTGGATGAGGGAAAGGGGTCCGGAGTGAGACAGAGGGAAAGGTGACATCAACATAAGAGAAGCGTCTCTGCTTCTCCCCCTGCCACACAGGCAATGATGCTGTAAAGTGGGCGCTGGGGACCCTCCGCCGGGGGTGGGGGCTATTCTTGGCCGCACATGCGCTGAGCAGCTCCATCGGGAGAAGGCGCGGCCCGGCCAGGGCCGTCTAGGGCAGTCCTGCCCTCGGGTTTCCTTACCGGCTCTTGTGCAGACTCGACATGGTGTTGACTTCCGGACCCCCAGGCTGCCTCTGCGGCCCCAGCTGCCGCCACGGCCCCCCCTCCCCCTCCGGGGACCCGGGGAGCTCTGCTCAAGCCTCCGGCGGGAAGCAAAGCCGAGAGCGTGCTCGTTCCGCAGGAGCCTGGCCGCGCTGGTTCCGCCCCGGGATCACATGACGCGGGGCTTGTGTAAAGCCAGGCAAAGCCCTGCGCTCGGCGCCAGGACAGCCCACAAGCACGCTGGCTGCAGGCCTCAGCCTCTAGCTACGCGATACACTTGGCCATCTCCCTCGCTCCCCGTCCTTAACCGCGGCGCAGTTGTTTGGTGAACTGGATCCAGCCCCGGGTGTGGTCTTGGTCAATACTGAGTCCTTATGGAAATGACCGTGTGGCTCAGTAAGTACCGCTTGGAGAAGCAGAGTACAGTTCGGGGTTTCCTTGCCTTTGGGAGTTCATAAACAGTAGAATTTCTGTAATTTCACAATTTCAAAGCAATAGAAAAGGAAAAGCAGGAGCCGATGGTGTAGTTCCGTTGGTTGAGTGCTTGCCTGGCATGCACTTCACCTGGGTTTCTGATCCAGCCCTGCTTGTAGTTGGACGTGAGGGTGCATGCATTCATTGTCCTAGCCTTTGAGAGGTAAAGACAGGAAGACCAGAAGTTCAAAGTCATCCTCTGCTAGAAGTGAGCTCGACGTCGATAGTCCAGGAAATAACGGGCTTGCATGCGAGTGTGAGCACATGAGTTTGCATCCATAGAACTCACGTGAGAGCTAACCGGAGGGTGAGGATGCTGATCCCTGCGTGAGCAAGGTGACAGGCAAACTGGCTCCCTAAGATCTCCTCAGATAAAATGGAGAGCGATCAAGGAAGACAGCTGACCTTTAGATCAGGCCCTCCCCCTACACACACACACACACACACACACACACACACACACACAAGTATACATACATGTTCACATATTTGCACACACGCACACAATTTTTCAAAGTATGTGGATGGGTACTTTGCCTGCATTTATGTCTGTGCCTGGAGGACAGAAGAGGGGGTTGGAATCCCTGGACCTGGAGTTGTAGACAGTTGTGAACCATTATGCAAGTGCTTGGAATTTAATTGGGTCTTTTGTAAGATCAACCAGTGCTCTTAACTGCTGAGCTATCTCTCCAGCCCCAACAGAATATGTTTTAGCAAAGAGAGGCAGGCGTGGTGGCACACGCCTTTGGTCCCAGCACTCTGGAGGCAGAGGCAGGTGTATCTCTGTGAGATGGAGGCAAGCCTGGTCTCCAGAGCCAGTGCCAGGATAGGCTCCAAAGCTACACAGAGAACCCTGTCTTAAAAAACCAAAAAGGAAAAAAAAAAAAGAAAGAAAGAAAGCTAATAAAAAATTGAAAATTAATTAAAAATGTAAAAGTAAGGAGGGGGGAGGAAAAATCAAGATTTCAGAAATCCTTAAGTTTCCCTATTCATACATATACATTCATAATTGTATTTACTTCTTAATTTTTTTCAGGAGCCAAGGAAAACTTTAATGTTGGACATCACTTTTCAGATCCTCTTATTTTCATGTTCCTGGCCTCTAGGACTTCATTGGCCAATAGACCAGGCACACACTTTTCTAGACCAAAGTCCCAAAGTTTCCCTTATTCCTCCAAAAAACAACATGGTCAGTTTTGTCACAGCAACACCCCAATTCTGTCTTGCTGTGATAAAACACCATGACCAAGATAAGTTATAGAGAAAAAAAGGGGGGTGCATTTTGGGATTACTGTTTCAAAGGGATAATAGTCCATCACCATCATGGCAGGGAGGCATGACAGCAGACCGTCCTTTGCAGCAGGAACAGCAAGCTAAGAGCTCATATCTTCAACCACAAGCACAAAAAGAGAATAGGACTGGAGAGTTGGCTCAGAGTTAAGAGTACTTGTTGCCAGCTTCAGGAGGCACAGACAGACAGATCTGAGTTCAAGGCCAGCCTGGTCTACAGAGCCAGTTCCAGGACAGGCTCCAAAGCCACAGAGAAACCCTGTCTCAAAAAACAAAAGAAAAACAAACAAACAAAAAAAACGTATTTTTGTTTTTACTGATGAGTATGTGTATGTGTGAATGTGGGATTCCCTCGAACAGGGTTACAGATGGTTGTAAGGTGCTCAGCATGAGTACTGGGAACCAAAATGGGATCCTCTGCTACAGCAAGTGCTCTTAACCACTGAACAATCTCTCTGCATCCCCTTGGAGTTTCTTTTTTTGTTTTGTTTTGTTTTTGTTTTTCGAGACAGGGTTTCCCTGTGTAGCTTTGTAGACCAAGCTGACCTTGAACTCAGAGATTCACCTGCCTCTGCCTCGCAAGTGATGGGATTAAAGGTGTGCGCCACCACTGCCCCAGCAGTAATTTTATTATTTTATTTCATTAATTCCTGCATTTATGTCTGTGTACCACATGCATGCCTAGTGCCTGCTGAAGCCAGAAGGGGGCATCCAGTTCCCTGGAGCCAGAGATACAGATGGTTGTGAACCACTGTGTAGGTAGGTGCTGGGACTGAAGCAGGATTTTTGAAGGACTATCTCACCTCATCTTGGCAAGGTTTGGCAGTCGCTCTCTTTTGTGTCCTGCTTGTCCAATTTGAACAGCATACTGTCAACAGTTGAGGCACAGGCACTTTCTTTCCCAGTGGCTTACTTTTGCCACAAAGAAAGTAAACTCTATATGGAGTTTCTTCAATGCCCATCATCTTCTTTGAAGTAGAACGGTCCTGCCAGGAGCAGACATGTCTCATTGTCATAAAAAGGAACCCATGTTATTAAAACATCTTAAGTGCCATAATCTGTAGATCTCTGAAGTGTTTGAGGATGATCTACCTAAAACATATCTGTTTGACCTTGTAAATATACCTAATATGACTACAAATTTGATTGTAGTAGGTGACTAATTACTAACCTGCATTTCCTTATTATCCTATATAATTGGTAATAATAACTTTCACGGACTAGAAATTTGCATTACATTTGCATACAGTTAAATGGGCTGTATAGGTACTATACCTTGAACAAGATTAGAAATATATGTACAGTATGTTTTAACAAAATTAATCTCAAATTTGTATCAATATACAAAATTTGTATGCAATGTACAAAAGTCCAATATAATGTAAAATATTTAAAACTGGTATTTGCCTTTTAGAAGTAGACTCAATAATCTGCCTTTTTATCTTGTATCTATATCCTTTATTCTTTTCAGAGTAAATTCAATAATCTACCCTTTTATCCTATCATATCTGTATTCCCCTTTTTTCTTCTCAAAACAAGAACCCTGAGTATAATCTCCTTTGTTTAGCTTTTTTTCCTGACCATGACTAATAACAACATGTAATTAATTCCCCTAAACAATGACAAATATCCATAACCCAATGAAAAACTAAAAGCTACCCACCCCACCACTTGGGAATGTGGAGTCCTGTTCTTAAATTTACTTCCTGCTATCTGGGGATGACAGCATCTTTAGGGGATCCTGAAAAGAAAAATTGGGGTTAATTGTCAAGTCCTGGGAGAGGTAGCTGTATCATTTGCTGCCCAGTCTCTGCGTAACGGGAAAGTGCAGGGCTTGTCTCAGGTCCTGGATAGAGTAGTCTGTGAGGCTGGATCATCTCAGCTAATTTGTAGTTCAAAGCTGATCTTTAGGTGGTGTTTCTCAGCTTAGTACAGTTACCATAGTCCTGGTAGAATTGTCATTGTGGGGTTCTATCAAGTTTTGGAGACTTCAGAGATTGCACTAGGTCAATCCCTTTTCTTGGTAACTTTTTCTGAATAGTTCTCCCATCTTCTTTGATGCTTATTTGTACAAAAGTCTTTACATTCCTCAAGATGGTTGTTTTTATTTTCCTGGAAAAACAAAAACAAAACTTTTCCCTAACTCGCCAGGCAGTAGTTGCGCACGACTTTAGTCCCAGCACTCGGGAGGCAGAGGCAAGTGGATCTCTGTGAGTTCCAGACCAGCCTGGTCTACAAGAGCTAGTTCCAGGACAGCCTCCAAAGCCACAAAGAAACCCTGTCTCGGGGAAAAAACAAACAACCAAAAAAAAAAAAAAAAAAAAAAGGAAAAAAGAAAAGAAAAACTTTTCCCTAACTCTAACTTTGGGGAGGTTCCTAACCTAATCTTTATCAATTTTGATTTGTAGTTTCTCCTGAAATTTTTGTTTTATCTTCCAAAGCTCTTCTATCTTCCAGAGCAGTATGGTTTTTCTTACAATAGGCATTAGGTTCTTTAATTGCTCTAGGAAGGAGTTTCTACGGTGGCAGGAAATGACCAAACCAGATTTGGCATAGGGGCCTAGGAGATACCCCTCAAGGGGTTTCCCAAAGGCAAAGGGTTACCTTGGATGTCCCTTGTTGATCTACATTCATTAGTCCAATGCCTGCCTTTGCCACACCTTCTGCATAATCCAGAAGGGAGGAGTGTTCTGTTTGGATTATGCTTAGAAAAAACATTGTTTTTAGGATACCCTGTTTACTATCCCTTTTAAGGTGACATTGTTTGCTACAGTTAAAACATTTGACATTTCAATTTTTCTTCAAAGCTCTTGAAATCACCTGGAGAGGTATCCCTGCATCATTATGGTCATATGATTCAATACTGATTTTATCTCGGGCCTGTGGTGATTTATTATTTATGATTTATTAAAGCTTTGCCTAAGGGTACAGAAAACAAAGCTAGCAATGGTGATACACACCTTGAATCCCAGCAGCTATACTAGCTAGCCATAGAGCCAGGTGGTGATGGCACACGCCTTTAATTCCAGGACTCAAGAGACAAGCAGATGAAACTCTTGTTAGTCAAGGCCACACTGAGCTACGTGAAATTGATCCAGTCCTAAAGAGAAACAGCTCACACAAAGATGATCTCAGCACTTGGGATCACAAGCCTTTAATCCATCACTAGGAGAGTATAAAAGGAAGAACCGAAGGGTCTCAAGAAGATTATTAGTGTCCAGACTGAGATAGATAGAAGTAAGAGCTAGTGTCCAGCTGCTTTGCTTTTCTGATCTTCAGCTTGAAGCTTGAACCCCAATATCTTATCTCTTGGTTTTCTATTTTTTGTGTTACACGGACCCATTCCTCCAAGGGTACTTTCTTGCCTTTAGC